GGGCTCAGGCGATCCACTCACCTCAGCCTCCCAAAGGTGCGGGATTACAGGCTGAGCCACCAAGCCCGGCTGAGAATCATTTTCTAAGTAATCATAATAGTGATGGTGACAATGTCCTTTGCATAGCACCTTGTTTTTACATTTTTTTTGTTTCCCTGAAGGTAGTTGATGCATTTTAGGTGTATTCCTTAATTCACTTTATGTCTCTGAAGGATCAGGAGAGCATATCATGGTCTTGCAACAAAGAAAAATTCACACTGACATTGGCCTTTAACTAGTATGCATATATGACTAAACTCTTGTCAATGTTAAGACCTGTGGTATGATTTGTTTGCCATTATACTCTAGATAGAAACCAAAATAAAACAAATCATAATATTTTTCTTATTATTTCACAGAAACCGTTCATACAGGTGTCTTCTGGACATTCATAAAATAGTGTTCGTCCACATCCAGGAATTACTGCCAGCTTAAGTTTTTTTTTTTTTTTTTAAATTTTCACAGCTACATTAAATTGTTCAATAAATATGTACTTAAGTAGTGAAATAATAAAGCTTTTCCCTAATTTTATAGTATCTGGAGTAAGTTGGTACTTTTTTATTTAAAGAGGAGTTATTAGCCACTTGAGCTGTACATCTTAATTAAAAAAATCTAAATAGAAAGATCACTAAAGCATGATTCCACTTATGTGAAAGTCAACAACAGGCAAAACTAATCTGTGGTGTTAGAAATCAGAATAGTGATCACCTCCACAGGGTGATTACGCCAGGTACTCAGGGACTATAGGTATCCAGGTGGTGGCTAATGGAGACACACACACACATAAATTCATCAAGCTTTACTTTACTTTTGAGATCTGCACACTTTAGTATAAGTAAATAGTGCATCATGTCTTCCTTTTAATTTTTTAAATTTGTTTTTACAGATGAATTCTTGCTCTATTGCCCAAGCAGGGGTGTGATGGTGCAGTCATAACTCACTGCAGCCTCAAACTCCTGGGCTCAAGCAATCCTCCTGAGTAGCTGAGAATATAGGCATGTGTCATTGTGCCTGCCAATTTTTTAAAAGTAGAAAATAGAACATGAAAATCCTTTTTCCCATTGCCCTCCTAATCACCAACATTTTTATAAATATATATGTATATATGCACAAATATACAGTATTTAACATTAAGAATATGTCCCTAAAATTTCAGTTATTTATTGCTTACATATCAAAAATTCTCATCATGTGATCACAGTGAACTAAGAAACATCCATTCATACACAGTGAGATAGAAATGAAATTCTTCCCACTCTTAAATTAGGAGCTAGAAAAAACTTCTCAGAACATTAATGTTGATGATGATTAGACTTGTACTAAAATTCTGCCATTAGTTTATAAGTTCTGTGAGGGTGAGGCCATGTTCATCCTGTATTTTCATACCTACTGCCTGTTATATAGTAGGTGCTCAACAAATATTTGTTAAAATATAAAATTATGAAACTTTCTGCTAATCTTCAGTTCCTGGAGTAATCAGGCACTTTGTGTTCAAAGGGTAGTTAGAAAATTTAGTTCTCATAATTCTTAAGGCAATTTCAGAATAGTAAAACCTAGTTGTATAGATTTGGAAATGTTACAAGTAAATAGTCAAGGAATCACTTTCTTTCTTCCCAAGCCCAGAATGAAGAAATGATAATTTTCTAGCTTTTTCCCACCCATACTCCCTACCTCGTAACCCCTAGCAAAAGGGAAAACAAAACCATGTTTTAAAAAAGCACACAGCAAGAGACACCCAAGTCGCTACTCCCTGGCAAATCAAATTCTTCCTTGAACCCCACAGGAGCCAGGTGTCTACTCTCTGGGACAAAGGGAGGCGCCCAGGTAAGGCGGTACTCTCCCAAGGTCCTGCTCCCAGCACCCTTTAATGTGTCACCTGTGGCTTAATAGGCTCCTGAAACCGAATCTTCTGGTTGCAACGACCGAGATTTTGCACAGTAATCGGAAGGCGATACACCCTCCCGGCCAGCGTGTCCGGGAACTTCATCCTCAACGGGGTCACTCGCAACGGTATGTCATTCTTCGGGATCTCAATGTCCTGGGGGACGAAAGAGCCCCTTTTGGTGTCCATAGAGGCCCTTTCGGTGGCCGGCAAACAGTTGTGTACTTGACCGACGGACTAGGGATCAGCATGGACGACAGTTGCTAGGCAACCATGCGACGCAGCTCTCTAGCCTCAAGCCCTGCCGCCTCACTGGTGCTGCCTAAGCTGCACGACTTGGCAACCCGATCCAGAGCTACTGTTTGTTGTCTGTAGAAAGAACTCCGGGGCTCAAGCGTCACCACAGTAACTGAAAAACACGCCATGACAGCCCAAACCTCAGAGGTATCTCATTTTGCCATGAGCTGGCAGGATTTTAAGATGATTGGCTTAGTGGGCATTTTCCTGGACTTTTCTTAAGACCAAGTTTACAGTTAAAGTAATGTGCCCAGGGGGTCTATTATGGCAGCAGGATGTAACAGAAACGGAGAAATTCAGAGGAAACAAAGTCAGGGTCCCACAGATGTCCTGCTCATTGGCATTTATGCCAGCGTTTCTCGATAACAATGTTGCTTACAATACCAAAATATTGGAGTAATATAAAAATTAATCAATAAGAATATGTAAAATAGTTTACAGTCTATGCATGATAATAATGTAGGTCTGTGTATTGAAATAGAAAAGTATCAATCATACAATATTAAATTTTTTAAAGTGACCAAACAGTATGCATATTGTGACATCTGTTTTTTGTTAAACACACACGCACGCGCACACACACACACACACACACACACACACACACACACTCATAATGTAAAAGCAATTCTCTGGATCTTTTTGTTAAAATGCAGATTCTGTTTCAGTATATCTGGAGCAGGACCTAAGAGTCTGTATTTGTAACAAGCGCCCAGGTGATTCTAATGCTGCTGGTCCAGAGGCTACATATTAAGTATAAAGGTTTTAGGAATTTTGTTAACTACTCTAGATGTAAGTGTCTTCATTTGTGAAATGGAAGCGCTGCTCAGGAGACAGAGATCAAACATCTTCATTGCTAGATGAGAACTTGTCCAACAGACTCAGATCCACATTGCCCAATCCCTCCTTCTCCTCATCCTTCCTTTGCTGCGATCTCATAGTCTCAAAACTCCCAGAGGCTTTCATTTCCTTTACTGTACATAGTGGTCACTGAGGAGAATGGCTTCTCCATCTGCCAGCCGAGCAGTCACACATCTAAATGCCTTTGTAAAACCTTTCCCACAATGGTGGTATCAGATTCTTATAGTACCAAAATGGGAAATTAGTTCCTACTTCACTTTCCACGAGGATGTGGAGATCAGTTAAGTAGCCCTAAATACAAAAGAAAGTAGTCCAATTACTTGGAATTGTCATCAATAGTTGAAAATAGTGGAAGTAGCAGTAGAGGTAACTATTATTTGCAAATCCTTGGGGATTTATAGATTAAAACATCTGCATCACCTTTCAAATTTCTGTATATCTTGGCTTAACAAGTTGGAGATGTGAATTTTACAGCTGGATTTTTAAATACTAATCACTGCTACCATATCACAGTGCAAACACTGTCCATATCCCCGAACCCCTAAATACGACAATTTTATAGCACTGAAAGCATAACTGGCTCACAGACATTGACTGAATTATGACCACAGTTCATGCAAAGTCCACCTCCATCAATTTATGAAAAAATTGGAAACTACGAAGAGGTCTTAAAATTCCTTATTGCCCATTCTCAAGAAGACTGGCTAAAGTCTGACCTTCTATGTAGAATTTAAAGGTATGGTGATACAAATCAATAAAGAATAACTTTTTTCTCTGTTCTGTTGCTATTCTTATCAACCAAGGCAGATTGTCACATAGCTCTTCAGGTTCATCAAGCCTAAAGCTCTATCCATTGTCCTAGTAACAATCATTAAAACTTTATTTCTTATCTATTCGTCCATCTACATTGTGTTTTAAAAAGGATTAGTTTTGTATCAAACATTTTTGGGCTATAGGATATTGATGTCTACTGGGTTATAAAATGCAACCAAAATCAAATCAATACCCGAGTAAATGTGACTAGTTGATGGTTGAAATTAATGTGAAAAAGTTCCAAAGTGGTGATTATGAAAGCTACTGTTCATCAGATGATTCAAAAATCTTTCATTCCTCAATTCATTTATATCTCTATAAGGACTTTATTTCCTGTTTGACCCCAGTGCTCCCCAAAACAAGGTTGGTATTACCTATTTGAAATAGAATTTAAAAATCTGCTTCCAAAGGGCTTGTGATATTGGCAAAATAAATGAAACAATCTGAAGATCTATTCTATCACCAAAGGAAAGGAAAACCTGTGAAATGGGTAATGAAAAGATTTCATATTACAGATTCTAAAGGAATATATGTGTGTTTGTACAATTCAATATATTAATTGTTAGCGTTCCTTGTCTATAAGATTGTAAATAACTGATTTTTCATTTAAAAAAGCAAGGTTGTTTTTTTTTTTAATGTGAGGTGCAATTCAGGGTTAGGTATACAAATGTTTATTATGCAGGTAACCTTGTTGATGAGGTGTGTCCCTCCCCTTCCCTGGCAGTTTCCCACTACTGCCAATCCCATCTCCCTCACCTAGTAGTTTCCCACTACTGCCAATCCATTTCTTACAGTATTTTGATAATTGTTCAGGGACTGCTTATGAGTGAGAACATGAAATACTCAGTTATTTGTTTCTGTGATAGATTCACTCAGTATTATAGATTCTAAGACCATCCAAGTTGCTGCAGAGTTCATAATTTTGTCCTTATTTATGACTGTGTAATATTCCATTGTGTATATGTACCACATTTTTTATCCAGTCCTTTTTCAGTGGGCAACACGGTTGGGTCCATGTTTTTGCTATTGTGACTAATGCTGCAATAAACATGCAGTTTGGCGATTCCTAAAAGATCTAAAAATCAACCTTCCATATGACCCAGCAATCCCTCTACTGGGAATATACCTGGAGGAACTCAAATCACTGTATGAAAAAAACAAGTCTTTTAAAGGACACTGATATTTTGTAACTAAAGAGTACCAGAAGTTACAGCCTTAGTGGCAGAGGTGGAGAGGTATGAGTGGGAAAAGGAAAGATTTGTTCCTGTTGAGTGGTTAGAGAAAATGTAGATTTTAATGTACCCAAATCCATATTAGTCAATGCTGGATAAGCCACCTATTTCTTCCCTGTCAGCATACATCAAAAACTCCCTTTTCTCTCTTCTCCATGGAGGAGTTCTTCAAAGATTTCTCATTTTGACTTTTCCTCCTTTCTCCCACTCTCCTACTCCTCCTCATTATTCTATTTTTTTTTCTTTTTGGTGTAACATTCAATATGTTGTTTTACAACAAGATTTACATGCAATTTCCACAAATTAAAAGACATTGGTTTTTACTAAATCAATTAATTAAAAAAAGAGAAATTCTGAGACCAAGGGCATTCTTGGTATAATTTTGAAGAGATGTTACTATATATGTTAAGTATATTTTAAATGTTAAGTAAATTTTAAAATGAGAAAGTCATTGGGATCAGAAGTTTCAAAATTCAGTTTCTCACTCAGTTCTAATATTCAACTGAAGTGCATACTTCTGTGTTTGCTGCATATACATATGTACACACATACAAAGAAAGAGGGAGAGAAAATGAGAGCTATGGAGAGGGAGAGAGCTGAATTATCATAAGACAAGAATATAGATATTATTTTCTGTGTGTTCCAGGATGTGAAAACAGATTGGGGAGTACTGTTTTTAGGAAGTCTCTAAGCCATTGAAATCGTGTTTCATCAAACTGAGGTAAGTCCTCTATTGAATAGTGAGACTTAGATGGATTTGTCCCTCCAGAATTGGAATATGTTCCCTATAAACTACTCTTTGCCTGAACAATTTTGCTCATTCTTGGAAATTTTTGTGTGTATATGTCCAGGTGGAGGGTGTGTGCTTGTGCTCTAGTCCATGTATTTGATTAGAGAAGATACAAATATTAGAGCACTTTTGCTGTAGCAGAAATTAAATATACCAAATGTCACTATGGTATTGTTCCTACTTAAAGTTCTCAGTGTAGGTACAGCACAGATCAGCTGTTGTCTCTTAACAGCATCCAAAACCTTGAAAATAAGAATGGAAACAAGACATTTGAAGAAAAAACTGAGAAATTGCTTGGGAGTATAGGTGGAGTAGACTTGGACTTGGCAATTCTGGAAAACAGCCGGAAAGGGAGTTTTTTTTGTTTTGTTTTGTTTTGTTTTTTTTTAAGAAAAGAAAGTTTATTTAGAAAGTAGATCAGAGAAAAAGGTTGGATCCATCTCTCCAAGATTAGAGAGGTGGTCAGATGGATTAAGGAACATTTGACCGAGAGAGAGCATTTTTAAGAGAGATTATTTTCGGTTAGGTTCTTATCTCTATGTCCAGCAAAGGGCTATGTTCTAGAAATTGCGTGTATATTGGGTGTGGGGGAGATGTAATAATAATTTGAGATAAATTTTCATTGTTTTATTGGTTCCATTATTATTTAAGAAGATCATATATGAAATTTCATGTCTTTGACTAACGATTCTGCCAAGATTTCCAGAATTTGTTTACCCTTACCTATCATCTTATAAAATTTTTTCAGCCACAAAGAACCATAAAATTGGGGTTTCCTCAGACCCTAAGTTTATGTCTTGGTAAAAAAGTAAGGTGATTATCCACAACAGCTTAATAGATGTGATTCTAGAGAACTGAAAGACTTATTATTCCACTGAAATGCCCATTTTATTAGGTGAACATAGAAGAGAGTTCACCATATTCTTTTAATTTTTATTTAACAAAATATTGTAGATGGAAGCAATCAGTTTTGAAAATATTGCTTCTGGCAATTCAATTATAAATATATTCCAAATTCAATCTACATAAATGGAAGATATACAATATCCTTTACTAACACTAGCACCCTATGAAAGTCAAGTTTTTCATTTGGGATTTGACCCCAATTTGCTGGTGAGTAATGAGAAAAACACTTATCTGCAAGGTCTCAATAACTGACTGTATGCTTTAATAATAGATACCACTTATTTAATGAT